GAAACCTTGTCTCAGAAAGACGAAGGGAGGGAGGGAAGGAGGGAAGGAGGGAAGGAGGGAAGGAGGGAAGGAGGGAAGGAGGGAAGGAGGGAAGGAGGGAAGGAGGGAAGGAAGGAAGGAAGGAAGGAAGGAAGGAAGGAAGGAAGGAAGGAAGGAAAGTACACAGCACAGATGAGTAGACCTTACCCCTCAAAATACAAAAATATCACCTGATGAAGTCCCGGTCCTACTCCCAGGGATTCCAATTCAAGAGTTTACAGGGCAGCCTAGGAAAGCGTACCTACCACACATCCTTTGTGCCCCCTGGCGATCCTTGAGACTCTAAAATCTCTCTATGACACAGAGGCATCATGTGCAGACTCTCAACATGATCACATATTACACAAGCCCTCCTGGAAGTGCTTATTTACAAGCTGCCCATGTGTCCAACCCATGCTGTCCCCTTGGCTTGGAAGATGAATGTGAATAAACTGCACAGTTTGCTGCTACAGTTCCTGCCCAGGCAACTGACCAGAGGTAACATTAAAAAAGGACAGGCAGTGCTGACATATCTCTCTCCCCAGAGGATGAGGAAACACTCCCTTGTAAGAAGCCAGCCAGAGAGCTAAGGAGAGCAGTATCAATTCAGAGTGGAATACACCAGGAGAAAACTGCAGCACAAAGACTGGTAAAAGAAAATTCCTCATTTCTTAACAATCTTTTGTGTCTGACCAGGGATATGTACTGGCACATGCCTATAATCCCAGGACTTGGGAAGGTGAGGCAGAAGGACTGCTGTGAGTTTGAAACTACCTAGGCCACACAGTGAGTTTGAGGACAGCCTGAGCTACAAAGTGAGCCCCTGTCTCAAAAAATAATAAAAAGAGAATCTTTATGTGTCTGATAGTAATGCCATATATTTGGTGTGTCATCTCATTGTAAGCCCCCTAAAATCAGAGAAGAGAACTTGTCCAAGGATACAGAGCCAGGTTTAGAACTCAGGTCTCTCAGACACCCAGTCCAGAGATGTCCTGGAGAGGTAAAGTTAAATAATCTTGCCATGAAGAAAGAAAAAGTCAAGTCCCATCCAAAGAGGATCCAACAGAAGTAGACAGCAATGAACAATGCTTGAGTAGTATCAGAACCTTAAATGGCTGAAATGACAGAAGGCAAACACATTTTGAATAAGTGAAGATTTATAAAGGTGAGTGAGTAAAAAGATCAGATGCATTTTGGTGAGAGACAACTAAAATGACAGTGATCCAAAGGCTTGCAGCAGCTATTGCTGAAGGATGGGCATTCTAGGTGACATCAACCTGCCCCAAAGTGTTTGTATTTCCTATGGTAACATATTTGTAAAAAGAAAAACATTATATGGTGTGTGGTACTGTGTTCTGACAGAAGTGCAAAGTGTCTAGCAGGGCAGAGGCTCGCTACTAAAAAGGGCAAAGAAAACAAGAGAACAGGTAGAGTGACAGAAGACAAGACGCCTGGCCTAAGCAAAACATCCTCCCAGCCTGGGAAGCTCACTCTCCTCATCCTGCTTCCTGAATACTTAGTCTAAAAGCTATTGGGCAGGGCCAGGCAACAAAGGATGCTGGAGCACAAGTTAGGTAAGGAAGGAAGGGTAAGATGACAGCAAATGGTGGTGACTGCAACTGGTGACTCATCAGGCACTAGAGGAAGTTAATCAGCTAAGTAAACATAATGTAATAAAGAGAGTCTGGTCTTTTACAGTCAAGGAGAAAAAAAGAAAACAACCCCACAAAAAATGGAAAGGGAGAAAACTGGGCTGAATTCTTGGGTAAAATTAGAGATATCAGATTAAACTCATGATTTCAATATATTCAAAGATGAACAGAAAAATAAATACAAAGGCAGAATGTGTGTGTTCCTACCTATGTACTAAGACTGGGCAACTGAAGTAATTACTACTATTGGGATAATTACAATTACTGTAAACAGTAAGAATAAACATACCTAATGCCCAGACCTTCCTTTCTAAATACTATTCTTCACTAACAGGAACCAGGGCCCTTGTGACAAAATGTAACTGCAGAGCTTAAGTACAGAAAGAAGATGACCCAAGAATATCTTATTGTACCTGAAGTAAAGAAGTGTTGGAAGAGTAGGACATTTCAAGAGAGCTCAAAATCAAACTAACGGGGCTCCTAAGGACAAATTAGGGTAAATCCAAGCATCAAAATAAGTACGGAGAGTGACTGAGTGTAACTACTATATATATAAAATAGAAATCTATGATGAGTGAAATAAGTCTGAGATAAAAAGTCAGACAGCTGGGGTGGGGGAGGGGTTGGTATATTGGCTGAGATGTTTAGTCTCAACATAACTCAACAAAATACTTATTGGTAGAGAGAAAGATGAACTGCAGAGACATCATGCAGACATCACCTTAATTGACATCACCCCCGATGGGCTAAGAGGAAACCATGTACCACCTGAAAGGAGGTGTGAGTGAAGCACAGCATCATTTACTAGGTATTCCGACCAGGAAATGATACACAGACAACTGGCCTATAATCTTCATGTCAAGGTCAGGAAAGCCAACAAAACACTGCAAAACTCTTCCAAACCAGAAGATGAACAGGGCAAGGAAACAAAAGTATATGATTCTATCATGCACCCATTTTATAAACTGCAAACCATGAGTGGAGGCTAACGGCTAAGTGGTACCAACATATCAGCATTAACTTCCTGATCCAGATGGTTCTATTGTAGCTTACTGAAGAACGTACTTGATCGCAGGCAAACTACACTACAGTATTCAGGATATAGCTCAGCAGCACAGCGCCTGCCTGGTAAGCACGAGGTTGCAAGTTCAATTCCAGGTACCAAAACAATTCAAAAATAAAATATTCAGAGATAATAAAGCATTATTTGTCACTACCGTACTTAAACTTGACAAGTTTGAGAGAGTATCAGGACTCTAGCCTCCTCCGCTTCCTCTTTGCTTCCCAGACACCATGGGGTGTGTGGCTTTTCCACCACACTCTCTGTCCATGAGGTATAGAGCCTCACCATGAGCCCAAAGCAACATGGCCCAGAAGTCATGGGGAGAAAATGAACTCTGAGCCAAAATACACCTTTTCTTCTTTTTAAGTCGATTATTTCTGGTATTTTGCCACCGGGACAGAAACATGAGTAACACAGACTCTTTGGATGAATTTCTATCAGTTATCTTAGACAACTATGGTGGTCTATACTAGAAAATTCATGGAGTATGGCAACTGGCATGTGTAATGCTAACCAGAGGCACAGGATACTTGCCAAAGCTAAGGATGAGAAAGAAGAGAGTGAGTGAGCACAAGTGTGTAAGCATATGTGTGCATAAATGCAAGGCGAGAACGTTATCATCTCTAACAAGCCTCACTGAGACGTTAATGCTCTTAAGATGCTGAGAGGTCAGGGAAAAGTACCGAGAACCACCCCTGCCCCTGGAATTCTTCATTCTTAGCCCTATACTTGGGGATGGCATGTGCTGGCCCTCAGAAAAGGTAAGGTGGAAGTAGTAATGGTTACCTTTCCTGACCCACATCCTGGAGAGCCTGCTGGAGAGCAGTTCCCTCCAGGACAGTGGAGATTATCTACTGAAGAGAACAGCTCAAGGCATGATGCCTACAGACCAGCCTAATGTTTTCATCTCAGCAGCTAAACCAGAAACTAATAGGCTACATTTTCTCTTGTACAACTTAATTTCCATGCCAAAAATGGAGACTTTTTACAAGGGGAATGTGCACTTTTCTTCTTTCCAAACTGTCTCAGTATGTTTTCGTTTATTGGACAGCATGACCCTTTTGGGTCATAACCACTATTTACAAATCAAATGTTAAGATCCACACTTTGTTTTCTAAGGAGAAAACTCATTTTATATGTAGGCACCTGTACCTATAGTAGAATTAGTTTAGAGTAGAAGTTTAAGTCTTATACTTTTATAACTTTCTCTCTCTTTTTTTGGTACTGGGAATCGAACTCATGACCTTGCCCTTGCCAGGCAGGTGCTTGTGTTACTGAGCTATATGCCTAGCCCATAACTTTCTCTTAACAGATTAAAAAAAAAGTATATAAACTACAACACAAATGACCTGCCTCCAGTAGATAAATTACAAAGAAACTATAGGTCCAAAGATTCCTTAATGTTTTATGGTCTCTTCATGTATACATCATCTACTCTTATGCTATATGGAATGTGACTTACAGTTTTAAAAACCCTGTAGTAAATAAGCCATCTCTTCAACTGTGCAGAAGTGAAGGATTCCAGGGAATTAAAATCCAAATGAGTAAGCCAAGAAACAGGTAGCTGACTGGACACAACTTCCTTTTCTTCAGTATTCTCAAGAGTCCAGTCTACATAAGTATCATGTCTCCATCATATTGCTCTCAATATTCACCACCCTACATACTTGCCCTTTAGAACTTTGTATAGTTTTGGTCTTAACAAAGCATCATTACAAGAACACTCTACTTAAATAGTTTCTATGTATTCTGTGAAATCACAGCTGAAAACAAAATCTACCAAGCCACACAATAGCAAAACCCACAGAATGTCTCTTTCCTTAAGTACAATGCCAGGAAAAGTCTCTCTGTAAACAAATGTGCATGCTTTCATTCCATAGACAATGAATACTATGTAATTCAATGCTACACAGAGAAGGCAATGGTTCTCTGGTAGGCTAACAGCCAGAAAACGAAATCAAATACAAGAGATATAATTAGCTGCCCACAGGAGCCTGGTACTTTCTACTCCCTATGCTTTTCTTGGCTGGCTTATGTCCTTTATTTTTAATTGTACCAGATGAAATGCTTTTAAAGACAAGTTTATATGTACATGTTTTCTCTCATATCCTGTATTTTCTAACACCATTCTCCAGTCAATGAACAGGGAGACTAATTTAGAAAGACCAAGCAACGCGCATGACTAGTTCCCCTCACCAGTCCCCAACCCAGCCCCTGTGTAGCCCAGAAAGGAAAGCGCACTCATGCTGCCATGCCCGCCATATCACCTTTACAGTAATCCGCAGGGTCCTCCTGTTCCTCATCGTCTGATCCCAGGATCTCCTCCTCTGGCTCCGGGGGAGTGGGGTCTGGTAGTGGTGGTGGTGGTGGAGGAGGAGGTGGAGGAGGAGGAACTAAAGGAGCTTTCTGTTGAGGCTCCGGCCTGAAACAGTGGAAAGAAAATTTCTATTTACTCAGAAGTAAACCTTGCATTACAGAAACATTTGAGAGTCTCTTAATATGGGAAAAATTAAAACCTGTCACACAGTAAGAAATGCTGATTAATGTCACGTCAGTCATTTTACATGAATTTAATTAAGTACGTTTCAGTATACAGATGAGGGGCTACCCTTATGAATTAAGGAATATTTCATAGGAATATTTTCAAAGTTTCAGAATTTCTTAAGGCTTGAAAATGCTATAAAATTTGTATGAAATTAACAACTATCCTATGACATACACCTTCATTAGAAAACATCTCACAAAGATTTTAAAAAGACAGGTGCAAGCTGCCCTTGACTTATTAAGAGGATTTTTTTCCTCATATATGAAAATCAGAATTTCCTTCCCACAGAAATAGTAGGAATAAGATTAGATTTCCAGAATGACTCATAAAAGCTGATTAATATATAACCTACCTAAAGTATAGTTATTTTCATTTACAAATTCAGGTATCTATCAACCCTACTTATGAAGAACACTATCCCAAACTGGAAATTAAAGAAAAACCAACAATCAATCAAGTACAAATACAGTCTTTAGACTATACAAAGATCATTTTTTTTTTAATTTCATAACTCCTCACATACGCTTATTTATTTATTTATTTATTTATTCTTGTGGCACTGGGGATTGAACTCAGGGCCCATGCATGGAAGGCAAGAGTTCTACCACGGAGCCACTAGCCCAGCCCACAAAGGTCATTTCTACTTTTACCAAAAAAGGTGAAATGATGTTTAGTATGACCTTTTACCAAGGCAAGAAAAGGCAAGAAAAAACATTTTGAGGGCTTAAAGAGGCAAACCTTGAAATATCAAGAATAACTCAAACATGATAATTACATTTGCTTAGAAGCGAAACATTAACAATGAGATTCTATAAAATCAGCTTGCAGTTACTATGTAAGTTCATTGCAGGGGCAGGGACTGTGGTTAGTATTTGCACTCTTGCCAGGCATGCATGAGGTCCCGGGTGCAGTCTCCAGCTCTGAAAAAGTTAAATGTTATTTCTAACCATGTCCCAATGGGGAAAAAATGAACCTAATGTCTCAACTCTGATGCCAGAAGTGCATGTGTTTCTTAAGCTGCCAACCTAACAAGAGCACCACTGCTGTCCCTGAAATGGCCTTGCAATGTGGGTGAAAAGTGAATAGGAACAGATACCTGTGGAAGGAATAAGGGTGTTGGGGAGATGAGGGTGTCTGCAGAAGCAGTGTCAGCAAGAAGTGAGGGGACCCTAGAAGGGAGCAAGAACAATGTCAGTGGTACCAATGTAGTAGCAGAGGGGGATTTTTTGCCTGCCCAGAGTACATTTTCTCTTTCTGAAAATACCTGGCTTCCCTTTGGGGCCACTGCCACTCCCTGCACAATGATAAGCTGATTCTAGATCCCCTCTGTCCTCACTGTAGCACAGCTTGGGCACATAACCAAAGCTTGCTCTTCACGCCCAGAACTTTGCGGAGGTCAGTGTCACAAAGTGCAGCCTCACCCTCAGCTGCTACAAAGAATTAAGGACATAGGAGCTGCTGAGACCACTGCCTCTAAGCTGGACCTCTATGTCCATGCCCAATCTGAGAGCCCTCAACAGCCTTTCGCGCAAGTTAACTGCACTTAATATGTGTAACTTGCCAACAAAACCCCAAACTGTCACACCTGACAACAGGAAGGAGGGACAGGAGCAGCAGAAACAACAAAAAGTCATGAGGAAAGGATGAAGATTGCACAAGACAGGTAAGCAGAAAGGTAATGCTAGCAAGTATGGCTACTTTTAGCAAGAAAATGCCAAGTGCTTCTAAATTAAAAGTGATATACTGATCGCAACTTGCTAAAATTTATAAAGACTCAAAGTTACAGCTCTCAGGGAGCAGACATTAGGCATGCGGTGATGGTACTGCTCTGCGTTAGCTGGCAGTCACAGCGGGGCACAGAAAGGAAACAGTCACACTCAGGAGCATGCCTGTCCCTTGTACAGCACATCCCTAAATCCCAACAGGCCTTCCTGTAAGTGCAATACACTTCCTGGTAGCCTTGTGAATGTTCCTTTTCTTTTTAGCAGACAAGCCATGGCTGACAGTACAATGGTCACAGGCAGAAGAGAATCCTGAAAAGGGGGCAGCAGGGGAGGGTCTGCAAAAATGTCATTATGGCACTTAAGAGTGAGAGATGACCTCTGAGAGCCAGGCACTGCCCATTCTCCAAGAAAGTAGGCAGATCCTCATCTACTGATGAGTTGGTAAGTTAGAAATACTTTTGAAAGCTGCTTGTTTCTACCTAACTTAGCACCTTTGTATTGAAAAAAAAAATAGTTTCTCTAAATCTAAAACATACTGTAGGAATGACTCAATGAACAAAGGATCCTTAAAAAATATGCCCAAATATTGACTAATGTCTCCTGGAAGCAAAATCACTCCCACCGTCAACCACTGCACTATAGCAATATTTCTATGCACTGTACAGGTATGCCTCATTTAAGGGCCAAGCTACACTTGCTAACTGCAGTGGTCACTAAATGAGGGACTGTACAGAGTATGAACATTACAAGACTCAGAACAAAGAAATGGTCAAAGGAAACTCCAGTTCGATGACTTTGCTTTTACTCCATAACTCTGACATGCAGTACTGTCATATAAAACAGAACATAAAAGCACAGTACTGCACTGTACAAAACAATCAACAAAAATTACAACACTGTATAAACAAGGTATGCTGTACAAAAGAAGACATGCAGGCTCTCTAAACAAGATGTACAGTACTGCACACACACACACAAAAAAAGACAGTACACAAGTCCAAGTGGCAGGTCCTAAGTTCAAGAAGTACACCTCACTTGTAAGTCAAAACAGTTGTTAGCCAGATAGGTTGTTGAATGACAAATGCTATATGATTGTACTTCACTGGATGAGGCTGCATCTGTGATAAATGGAGAAGAGATTCTAATTTTCAATGTCCACGTTTTCTTCTTTGAGATGCTCAGGCACCTTTATCATAATTTGTGTCTCTCAGTCTTTACTCAACTGCTGAACAGCATGCATAGCTTAACAAAATTCTCAAATTGGTCTAAGTGAGCACGTGCTTTACATCACTCAGTGAGGACTGTGCTGAACCGCTAGATACTTTCTACCAAGCGAAAGGGCTAAGTCAGGATACCATGAGGTGTAGAAGAGGTTGAGTAATGCTGATTAATCGTTAACTGGAATATTTTAAATACAAAAAAGGAGGGGCTGGGGATTTAGCTCAGGGGCAAAGTGCCTGCCTGGCAAACGCAAGGT